ATTAGGAGTAATTGGCTACTCCTGTACCACCTCTCGTTCTAATATTTACTATTTCGGTGGAGATTGTGGTCATGATCACTGTTACTACAATACATTAAATGTACTGAATACGATAAAGATGGAGTGGACTTCATGCAGTAATGCTGAACAGTCGTCATAGGCGGCTGCAGGATTTCACTGCAAGTAGGGCAAAGGTGTGGCTGAAAGTGGGAGTGGTCAAAAAGTAGGTGTGGTTATGACCACACCCACATGTCTTGTTCTTGAGTTTTAAGACTGTTAAGAGTTCTATTTCAGCATTTTGTGAAAAAATCAAGTTGAAAAAGGCTCTGAAATTCTCAATCAAGAGCTACCCTGCCATTCTTGTGTTCAAAAGGAGAAAATTCAGTACCTAAAAGACCTCTATCAATGATAGAGTATCAGTAGCTAGGTGATTTAGCTGTTGAATGAGTCCTAGCTGATAATAATGAAGCTGCTATTGAGATGGAGTCAGTTATTCTAGCTGCAGCCTGTTTACTGTAGATTATGCCTTCCTGAAGTGGCCATAGGTATGGACCTATGAAGTGGTTGACTGGCTTCCTGTGATTATAAACCATGCAGTTAGCAGCTTATTCTCCATTAATTATCACTTTGTTGAGCAAAATAATATAGTTTTTGTCATTAAAATAGCTATATTCCATGTAATAACTACTAAATAATTATTAATTAACTGCTAATTATGATGATGTCATCTTCCGGTAAGAAATTCTAGTAGGGCATTGCCCTCATTGCCTGCCCCTGCAGCCGCCTATGACAGTCGTTGATGAAGAAAGGCTATGGTGGAATGATATCAGTGGAATTTGATGGAGCAGAATACCTTGTCATCATAGGAGGGATTGGTTCTACACCAACTGTTTACCATCCTCAGTTTCAATATGATCAACTTAAGAATGGTTGTGTTCGTACTAATGAACAGTTACTTTATAATGTGTCCACTGGTAAGATTCTCTTCATATTAATAAATACATGTTGCTTTATACATGTATACAATGTATACATTAATTTCAAATTTACATGTACATTAATATTAATTATACTAATATACAATTGTACTTTACCATATAGCGCAAAATTTTCGAGGGCTTTAAATTTCGTGAATTTGCCTAAAAATCTATTTTGCAGATTTAATTTTCCCGAATTTATGCTGTCTGCCATCTTTTATTGTACTACTGTACTCGCCCCAATAATGCACCTCTAATAATTACATGTCTTAGATACCGTATACGTTCAAATTTTCGAGGGTTCAAAATTTCGTGTTTTCAATGAAATTTGCTCAAAAGTTAATATTCGTGTGAGCTAATTTTTGTGTTCTGGCCATAGTCTACATACAATAGAATGGCATTAGAGGTGGTTTAAATTTCGTGGATTTAAGGTGAGCACGAAAATAACGAAATTTAATACACCTCGAAAATTAAGACGCGTACGGTAGGACATTAGATTGTTCATTGTTTAGATAGGAACAATTATGAAATGCTCCAGGAGGTGCTTGTTTAGAGAGCTGCATAGCTAAGTATGCAATACACCTGCAAACACCTCTCAAAAATAATTATCTTGACCAGGAGGTGCACTCAATAGAAAGTTTTTATAATTAGGAGGGTACGTTAATTGGGGCGAGTACAGTAATTTTGATTTTTGTAGAAGTAATTTTTGTGAATCTTCAAAAAATTGCAAAATCTGTGAAATTTACAGCCTTTGAAAATTTTGCGCTATACAGTATTATTGTTAGCATGTATTGATAGATGATCACTGTATTCTCTTCACTTTAGGACAATTTACTGTTCCATCTGTCAGTGGACAGTGTTGTCCACCAACTGATTCTTTCATAATTGAGAAGATTACTACTACCGGTAACAGAGGAGTAATGTTTGGTGGACAGGTGACTGTTAATGGTGATGGGACTACAGCTACTAACAGTGTTTACATATTCAGTGTGACACATAGTATAATAGTAAGTTGTATTATATTTTGTTGTATTGTATTGTACAGTAATACATTATCTCAGTATTATCACTAGAAGATATATTGTGTTGTACTCATATTAACTGTATTTTGTGTATTATTATATTAAATATTCACAAAACTCTGATACTACATAAAATATTTTGATAATTAGACAGTGTATAGTCATGCTTAGTATGGTATTTCATATTATCGAGTATATTGTGTACCAATAGATTTGTTATACCTCCAGTACTTGTACATGTATAATACTAAACACAAGCACTAACCTCACCTCATTAACATCAAAGTATTAAATATTAGGATTAATTTTTACATGTCACACCCATTATTTGTATAGCCACACCCATTATTCATATTTACGCTGACTGATATTATTAGTATTTGTTTATGTATCTAGAACTGGGAGATACTGAAACCAGGAGCAATACCTAATGAGGGACTGTGGCCTATGGAGAGAGACCATCATGCTAGTGCTATTATCAATGGTGACTCTACCTCACCTACACTAGTAGTGATTGGTGGACTGGATAAGAGAGGTCAACTAGTTAATGAATGTTTGTTATTTGATAGTATCACTACTGGTCAGTACAGTTGTAGGAAGGTATGTGTGTGTATAGTACTGTAATGATGTGTGTGTGTATACAGTCTACACTCAGAGGGTACATTTTTGTGTAAGGATCCTTTATAGCTTCACTTCCTGTTACATCACTGTTATAATTAAATTCATTGACAATTTGGCTATGAATATCATTAAAATCATTCAAAATTTGAAACACGTGTAGTTGTAGGCTCTTAATTAGATGAAATCTGGAAGAACACATCAACTTTTAGGGGAAATTTACCTGAATAAAATAAGACCCAGCACCAAAGGACAATCACAATGTATTAAGCAAAGGTAAGTACAGTACCAGACCCTTTGCCAAAAGCCCAGCACCCCTGTGAATGATTTGCACAAGAATCAAAGTTGCTTCGTGGCTAAAAAGTCAAAATGGTGGCTGTGCAAGTAGATGTGTATCTCCTAAACAGAAGCACAGATGAAGCTCATTCTTGGT